GGGGGGGGGGGGGGACAGAATGTGGAGATGAAAGCAGATGACAGAGCATGATTAAAGAGCAGGAAAGGAGATTATAGAAACTTTTAGTGCAGAAAATTTTCCGTTGCTTTTAGATTTCGAACCCCAGATCTATTGAATGAGAAGCGAACACCGTACCCCATTGACCACGAGAGCCCTCTGCCACTGTGGGATTCACTAGTTTTGTTTCACTTAGCGTTGCTTTTCTCATCTTTTTGTTTTTGTAGGCAGTAATTATTCTTAAACCGACCCATGGCTAACTGCAATCACGTACTCAACGCAGCGAGCTCTATGATATATTAGATAAATTATACATTACAGCTTGCACTGAAAACAGTAATTCCACCCCTTTGGGCAATAAATACCCCTTGTTCCCTCAAATAAAAACATCAGTGAGAAGTAAAAGACCTAGGCTTCTGATCGGCAACAAAGAAAGATACAGAAGGTCATTTTTACCATCAGCCATCAAAATTCTTCCATCTTAACCATCTTGTTACAAGTATTCATATATATGACTCTTAGAGCGTGCACCAGAATAACATTGAGTTACAGTCAGAATACTGAGTATGTAACTTAAGATTGTTATTGTTTATAGCCTACATGTATTACAGTTCATTTATATTTTGCAAGTGACTGTAAACCTGCGTGTGTGTGTATGTGTGTGTGTGTGTGTGTGTGTGTGTGTGCGTGAGTGTGTGCGTATATGTGTGTACGTGGTGAAACACAAAAACCAGTGTGCCGGGAACTGAACAATACAGATGCATCTTATCTTATCTTATCTTATCTTATCTTATCTTATCTTATCTTATCTAGGCTATTCGCCATAGCACGTAGAAGGCGCAATTTCGATTCCCGTGTGGAGAATTTATCTCGTGGAGTAGCCAGCCCCGTCTCCCGTGGGCTGCATGACATTCAACTCACATTGATCACGACTGACAGGGCCGACATATACCGCCTCTTTAATGGTCTACATTGTGTTGATCGGTTCGTGAAGGAAATTAAAGATAAATGTGATGCATTGTGGTGACATCACGCGCCCGTCAAAATAGTGAAATTGAAGAAACTGGTGTGATTTTTAAAAGTCGTTGCGCAATAGTTTTTCGATTTTTCATAATATTTGTTTTGGCCCAACAGCTGTTATGTCCATTTAAGACATATTTAGGGTGTGAATGCTCACTGAAAATGTTTGATTAAAGACACAAAAAAAGTTGTAAATTTTCAGTGTACAAGGACTCTCAAGCTGCGGGAGTCACCAAACTTTGGCGCTATTTTCTAGCTGATTTCACCCCTGAAACAGAGCAACCCCACCTGCTTCAGTCGCAGATATCTCGACTTCTAATAAAGATAGATGAAAAATATTTTTCCATCAAAAGCAAGGCAAACAAACAGGCCTTAGGATTTTTACTAATAGCTCTATATGCCCAAAGCTTGACGCCCAAAACTTGACGAGCGCCTTATACAAATAGACGGACTTACTTCTTTACAACGCATAAGAACAGCGTCAAGGTGACAAGGAGAGCGACCAATGCTGTGACACCAATCAATGCCCAGATCCCTGAAAAAAAGGCAGAAGATGAAGTTGGTAAGCAAAGGACGCACTATTCTGCAGAATAAAGTAACTATATCACAGGCTACCCTATTTCGAATCTCCAACGGGTCATTTTTTAACCTGGGTTGCTTGAAGAGTTTTCGAGGATGGCTAAATATCATCTGAAAAAGCCCCCCTCCCCCTTCCCCCTTAAACTGAAATAGTTAATAAGTAAACAACTAGATCTGTAGCTGAAATACTGATTAAACCCATGTGTCAAGTCAGTTCATAATACAGTGTATGGGCAGGAGTTGAGAACAACACTTAATGTTCATTGACGTGTCCTCTTCGGTACAAGTCGACGAGAGAAAGATGATCTCTTCATTTTTGTAACTCTAATAATCACAGCAGTTCGTTACCTCAGAATTACAAAGTTCTATCTACTCAGTATCAAGTTTTGAGAAATTGGACGTGAAAAAATATGAGTTTCACAACATTTCAAGTTTTTTTTTAAAGCAATTTTTTGATTATCAAAACAACGACTTCGAATTATCTTACGATTTTGGTAGAGTAGATAGGACTTTTGGTTTCTGACCTCATGGTCTTAGTAACTCAAAACAGCCAAATATGTCGGATAGAAATTTGTAGTCCTAATTCCGAGGTAGCGAGTTGTAGTTGACGTACGCCATGGCTGAATTCAATGTAAGATTTTTTAACACATATGGTTTACAACAAAAAGTAGGCTAGACAGAGAGCTCATGACGATGGAATACGAGTAAAATGTGAAAAGTTGAGTAGGGTCCTTACAGATGGGTTGGTCGTCTGATTTTGCCGGGGATGGAGAACTCCCTTGACTTCCGGTGCAGTCTGTAGAGGATTTGGACCCATACCACAGGGTTGTGGTGCCTGAAAAAAGAAATTACCTTTGTTTACTTGTTTTTCTTCCTGAAAAAGGGACGATGGAGGCAGATGGGAAGGATTTGAGTGCGTAGTGAAAAAGGGAGGTTACAAGGCGGAGTTTTAATGTGATCTTTCTAATTTGCAAGATAATTTTGTTTAAAAAATTGCAAGGATATTGAATTTGACAAAGGCGGATCGTAATTATATTCTCCGTGAACGGTCCCTAGAAATCCATGGAAACTTCGAAGCCTAGGAACATCGCAAATTGAACTTTCATAAAATTGTTTTCGTAGTCATAAGACACTATTTTAAGGAAACACACAATTTTTAATAACCTTGCCTGGGCTGAATAAGCCTCGTGCTTTTTAAGGTTTCAAATCTGCCAGTATTACTCATGCCAAATAGAATGTCAGAATGACAACCGATTCGTCCTTGTCTCAGAATCATATGACTTGATAGTTGCTATTATAAATAAAACGCACGTGTAATACCATTCCCACGTTTATAGACTCATTGCATACTGGCGAGCAAATAAAAGGTACCACTTTTTGATCGTGTATAAAGCCTAGACTTTTTGAGTCTTTACTCTTTTCTTTTGACTAAGTATTCTAAAATCTAAGTCATGTTATAACAACATTTCGGTGCTTAAATTAGTGGCCACAGCACCAATGTAAAAAGAAATAGAAAACTGGCCTTTTTTCCCCAACCACCGGGCATATTTTTTTCAATTCTTTGCTTTTTCTGAAGTATAAGTCAGTGTTTACCAAAAACCACAGTGCCATCGGAGCATTGTCTCCCCTTCAAAATAGTCTGGTTTATCTCAACATCTGAGATGTCGCGCCATCTATCTTCTACGCGCGTTGCTGTTGTTGCCAAGACATTCAACGTCTGCTTTTTTCTGTTGACGTTGAATGTTCAGGCAACAGCAGACACGCAAGGAACCAGGCGATTGCTCGATTTCCGCTGATTTTGATTTAAACCCACTAAATATGCCCACATTCTTAACTTGATCTTCTTCTTTCGAAAACAAGCTGTTCCCCCCCCCCCCATCTCTGTTAGTCTGTCTGTCTGTTTGTCTGTCTGTCTCTCTGCTCCTCTCTCTGCTTTTCTTTCTCTCTCTCTCTCTCTCTCTCTCTCTCTCTCTCTCTCTCTCTCTCTCTCTCCCTCTCCCTCTCCCTCTCATACTAGTCACATCCCCTCTCCTAATAACTATCTCCCCTTTATCAATAAGAACCCAGAAAACTCAAACTCATCTTTCTCCTAAAAAATGAACCTGTAATCTAAACCAATTACTGCAATAGCTTAAGACACATAACACTAGCTAAATGCATAAAAACAAACACCAACTAATCACCTACAAACACACAATCCAACACCAACAAAAACCCAAACTTTCCGACAGTCGACATTGTCACGCATCAATCACTTTTAATGGTGTTATGCTCAAACCGTATAACTGAAAGAAACGGATCAACTCTTGTTTTTGGTGTTTTTTTTCTGGTTGTTGTTGTTCTAAAACTGCTGCCAGGGTCTATCAACAGATTTCCAGTAAAAGTCCTGTGTCAGCATACACTATAAATTGAGTCAATAAACTTATTGTGGGCTAATTCAAAGTGTCTTCTTTCATCATCGAATTCAACAAGTTTTTTTTGGCTTAAAACAAAAGTAAAAAGCAAAAAGTAAAAACGAAACCAAACAAAAGCCCCCCCCCCCCCCCCCCCCCCACTAGTTACAACAAGATTAGAGCAAAACACAGTCCACATCGTCGTCGTCGGAAGCAATCCCTCTAAGTCCAAATTCTGAGAAAATTCGATTTTGACACCCTGTCACAGCTCTATAAACGACCCACCGTTTAACACCACCAAAATGCGCTATAATGCTACGGTCAAGGCTTTCAATTTTCTTGCATTTCATGATTCCTGATAGGAACAACACAACAAAAATAATTTTTTTTTGGTCTCTGAAGTAAAAATTAGCCAAACAGACTTACTCGTAAGGGGATTGCTTTAAACACCGACGACATTACCTTTCATTTCCCGAGTATACTCACCCGAAGGGCATGCCAGACATTCTGACTGACGAGTGAGCTCCTGGTACTGTCCTATATCACACACCTCGCAGGAGTTGTTCACAGAATACGTGCCACTGTCGCAGTCAACTGTTGACGGTTGAGGTGAAGATGTTGTTATAGTGGTTGTAAAGACTAAAGTAAAGCGAAACCCGTCTCTCTCTCTCTCTCTCTCTCTCTCTCTCTCTCTCTCTCTCTCTCTCTCTCTCTCTCCTTCTCTCTCTCTCTCTATCTATCTATCTATCTATCTCTCTCACACACACATTCTCTCTCTCTCTCTCTCTCTCTCTTTCTTTCTCTCTCTCTCTATTTCTCTCTCACTCTCTTTCTCTCTCTAACTCTCTCTCTCTCTCTCTGTGTGTCTCTATTTCTTACTCTCTCTCTCCCTCTCCTTCTCTCTCTCACACACACACTCTCTCTCTCTCTTTCCCTCTCTTTCAATCTCTCTCTCTCTCTCTCACTCTCTCTCTCCCTACCTACCTCGAACTCGTCTAACTTAAAAATCCGGTCTCATCGGGCAGAAGGATGAGAGTCAGAAAGACAAAGAAGAAGTAGGGGAGATGACGACGTTACATTTTGTTTGATAAAGAAGAAGGAACAAACCACACCAGAGCACTCGCCAACCACTCTCCTCTTTCTTTCTGTGTCAGATCGAAGTAAGGTTTGATCCAGCTTCTTCGTCCTTCTCAGCCCAATGTACAGAGGTATTGGCACCATGCTCTCCTTATTCGAATTAATGATCTACATTGTTCCTCATTGCACGATAAAAACCAACATGAACAACAAAGGAGCAGTAGCATCAGCAGCAGCAGTGGCAGGAGCAGCAGCAGCAGCAGTAGCAGTAGCAACAGCAGTAGCAGCAGCAGTAGCAGCAGCAGTAGCAGCAGCAGTAGCAGCAACTACAACTAAAGAGTAGGTAGTTGGAAGATGCCACTGGTAGGTCTTTCTCTACTTTTCCCCTTTTTTCTGTTATTCTGTCTTGCTTTAATCCATCACTAATGGGTTGTTATGAGCCAATATTACTCCCTGTACTCAAACCGAAAAATGTCTCTGAACAACTTCAGCAGTCATCTCTCGACATGGGAGAGCCTATTTTAACTAAGAGCTCCTGACAGACACACATGGAGATCAGCAGTCACAGTGGGAAAATACCCATACGATTTGAAGGTTTAGAAATTCTGAAGCCAAGAAGCCCGGAAGCTGCACACAGCCACGAGTAGAAGTGGCGCTTTTAAATGCTCTAGATCTATATGTGGGAAACTCTTCTGCGCCAGAATTGGTCTCATTAGCCGTATATATGTATGTATACCTCATGCTTCATGTCATTTTGCCCTTCATTTTTTCTATTTCGCTAAAAAAAATTCTACTTCCTGCAGATGCATTGGTCATCGTAGAAATTGACGGACACACTATTATAAATAATAAATGCACTCAATTTAAAACCTCAAATAAATAATTTATAGCATTTGCATACCGTAAATTCCCGCCCAACAGCGAGCTCTATTCGCTTCACAATCTATACCATTATCCCAGCAATCCTGCATATATCATTCTCAAACAATCTCAACTTCCTGGGAAGCCCACATGGCAAGCTGCCATTTTATAAGCACTAAAATACTAATATACCGCTACTTCAGAATTACAAAGTTCTGTCTTACATTTTTTACCCTAAAAAAATTTAATTATGATCTATCGGCTCTAACAAAATGGTGAGATTATTCGGAGTCATCATCATCGTATCCAAAGAATTGCATTCGAGAAAGCTTAACATGTTGTGAATCTCAAAATGTTTTACATCAAATATCTCAAAAGTAGGTGCATGTATTGAGCAGATAGAACTTAAAACGCTGTAATTCTAAGGTAGCGATACCGACACTGTAAATTATAGCAAGAGAAGCGTGCGTTTACCGCAAAAGTGATTTAGCAATTCTGTTCCATCTGGACAGGAGAGATCCACCCCAGCCGTCAAGGTATCCACATCGACCCTGTACTGCTGTCCGTTCACCGTGACATTGAAAATCCCCACGGTAGTGTTGATCAAGGTTTGAAATGTGTCCTCGTACAGGATAATGGCGGCCATTTCGCTCTGGAGCTGGGCCGCTGAAAGTATAGATTAAAAAAGAAACAACAAAACATTAAAAAACATTACACTTAAAAAAAAATCCTTGTACGGAAAGTTAGGTTACAATGGCAATCACACGCTTTTACGAGTAAAATACATATTATTATTATTGATACACACATTGTACATACAAAGGATACTAAATACGCAATATTACACCTTTACAGACAAGAACACAAAGTATACCTATATTTCAACTTCATAAAGGATTTGAAATTTAAGAAGTATTAAATTATCATTGATAAAAGATGCTCTCACCCGACCGTACCTTTTCCGCTTATAAAAAATAAACTTTAAATTATTACTTTAAATTATTACTTTTTAATATTCTTACTATATATGTAAATAAATATAAAACAATGACCAAGTCAAATTATGATTCGTATAACAGCCGTACATGTTGTCCAAAAAGTCCCAAAGTAATGGAGTGAGCGTTCTTTGTTTTTTCTATTTTTTAGATAAGTGTTTTACGACAGTCGCAACTGTGTGAGGTCATATATTTTCAGTTTGGTAAGAATTTATTTTGAATTTTACCCGGGTAGCGGCCGAAGCCTACTCTTACCGATTTTGGACCACCAAGGGATCTTAAACATGCGCAGCGTGTACACGGAACCTCCGAGATTTTGTGTCCTTCTCCGTGAAGGCTAGGTATTAAATCTTGAGTGTTTGTTCAGATACAATCAACATTTTTGACCTGTTCGTAATAGCAATGTAATTACTAATTACTAACAGCGTGCTTGGCTATGCAGTTATTATGCGGTTTTCTGTTGTTGTTGTTGTTGTTGCGTGTTTTTTTAATATTTAAATTTCATTGATATGGCAGTAAAATATTTACAGTTAATTACAAAACATGTTCTCTAAAAATCTTCATCGGCTTTAATCAACTACTCCAGTTATACGTATACTCACTCGAAGCAGTCGCTATGTTCAGGCTTGGGTCTGGCGACTGGACGGTCACTTCAATCGTGAACAATGTCTGTCCTGAAAATGGGACAGCAGTCAAAACGTCAAAAGACAGGGTAATTGTGAATCATTAATGTCCGGAAGTTATTTTATTCGCAGATATATTACATGTATAATATGTGCCTTAGCCAGTTGTTCAGGGTACATCGAAGTTTGTCACTCGCCAATTATTGGGCATATGGAGCTACTGCTGTTCATTTATCTTGATTCTGATGTATTCGTTTTACAAATAAACACAAGCAAAGGAGTTGGAGAGATCAGGACGATAGATGTATGCTTCCTGGGAAGGTAAGAATGTGTCTGGGTGATCTGGGGTCTACTAAAGTAATAACAGTTGTAAGGCTTATAGAACATGCTGTGGAGCATGGATTTCGCTTTTTTTAACATGCAATTATCATTATTTATCATCGTTAATTATTGTGTGTCTCTTATGTGTCACGACGTGGTGGAATAAAGTGCTCGTCAATTCTGGGTCATATGGAGTTATCGGTACCACCCTAAAGCTTGTTATTAGTCTCGCTTTTGACGAAAAAAATAATATCCCCATATATCTTGAATAGAATAGAAGATATTTGCAATTAATGGTGGTGGGGTCGCTTGGTATCAGAGATATAACTAACGAGAAAATGATCACAAAATTAAGTGATTTTCAAATTTGAGCGTCCTTGGGAACTGCAAATTAACATTTTTAATTTTTAAAAATTATTTGATAAACATTTTTCAGTAGGTACAATACACACTGAGATGTGTTTTTAAATGGGCGTAAAAAGTTTTGCGGCGATAAAGAGAAACATTTTTAACAAGAGCCTGATTTTACATCCCTATGTCGTTGAAAATTCCTCTTTAATAATTCGCTACCCCAGAATGACAAAGCTCTATCTGCTCAGCACCTAGTTTTGAGAAATTTGATGTAAAAGTAAAAGATTTTGAGTTTCACATCAGGTCAAGGTTTTTCGAATACATTTCTTTGAATATCTCGACAACGACTCCCGAATAATCTTACGATTTTGATAGGGCAGATAGAACATTGGATTTCTGACCTCATGATCTCAGTTCTAGTGTTAGTAAAATTTTGCGGCACTCGCAACAAAATAAGCTCATACAAGTGCCGAAGCTTAGAGGTGTTACAAGAGAGTAACAAACACAAAAAAGGAGGAGGAGAGGGAAGGACGATAGTTGTTTTTTCTTAAAAGAAAGAATGAGCAAACCACAACAGAGCTCCAGCCCACCACCCACATGATTTTAGTAACTCAAAAGGGTAAAAAATGTCAAATAGAACTTTGTCATTCTGAGGTAGCGGATGGTCAGACCTGTAGAGCGCTTCCCGATGCCGCTTGTAGTGCTGGTGCTATAGGCCACGTCCGCGCTACAGATCCCTGTACAGTTCAGAGTGGTGTCCACGTTGGCCTGGATGCCGTTCCTGACTGCAGTAGGGTCTACTACATCGTCCATTTTCCCGGACACTGTCGTTGTCTTAGTGGTCGTCACTTGAGCAACTGAGAATAATATGAAGATAGATGCGATCTGTAACGATGACTGACTCCAAGCTAAAAGATGTACAGGCGACGTAAATAATCTACTGAAATTAATAATGCACGTCTCAACCCGGGCCACAGACAGGACTCCAACAACAACAACAACAACAACAACAATACTCATATTAATACTAATACCAATACTAATAATTATAACTACTAATACTAATACAACCATTAATACTAATACTATTAATAATACTAATGCATGTACTAATACTAATATAATATATGTGAGGAAGCGTGGTGGAATCAGGCTCTCGTCAAAATAATCAAAGTGACGAAACTTGCATTTTTCCGCAGCTTTGTGAATTTTTATCAAATTTTTGTTTTTTGGCTCAACATATTTCGTGCCCATTAAAGAACTCATTTCTGTATGGATTTTTCCGAAAAACGTTGAATAAAGGAATAAAAAATGTACATTTTCAGTTACCACCGACTCTTAAGCTAAGGAAATATCTAATCTTTGGCGGCCATTTTCTCACTAATTTTACCTCTGAAAACAAGTGACCCCCACCTCCTTCTTTCGCAAATATCTCGACTTGTGTTCAAGATAAATGGATATTTTTTCCCATCCAAATAAATATAAGTGAACAGGCTTTAAGATGATACCAATAACTCTACATGCCCAAAAATTGACGAGAGCCTGATTCCACCACGCTGCCTCACAATATGTTATTTAGCGCCCACTCCGTGCTTGGTGGCTCTATAGGCGCTTCACGAGAACATAAGGTTTAAATTAACATTCACTGCACAATGATTCATCCTAACTCGTAATCTGAGGTAAAAAAACAACAACACACAAAAAGACAACCACAATATCTTATTTATCTGTAGCCAACCTGTGCAGTCTGGAAGAAGGGCGTTTGGATTTCCTGGCGTCTTGTGGGACCACTCGTAGCCCGTGAGGGGACCACAGGTGAAGTTTCGATCCCTGATCATGTAGCCTTGAGGGCAGACCACCGTGCAGACCTGCATGTTTGTCGTACTGTTTGTTTCGCACGTCACACTTTGATGAGACACACGACGCGCTAACCTGGGGCAGGCTACCGTACCAGACAAAAGAGGTCAATGAATTAATAGCCTATAATACTATAATATCTTCTTGACATATCCATTTGGGAAACAAATTCAAATTAAAAGAAAAGAGCCCTGCCCTTTTTTTTTTTTTATCAAAAGACAGTTTGATATGAGTAGGTTTGAAAAAAAAACCTGCAATAATTTACTGTCTTAGTTTGACAAGGAAATACATCTTTGTAGGGGTGGGGGAAAGGGGGGGAGGGTAGGAGCTGGTATTTTGAACAACTATGAACATCTGGCTTACCATGTAGTTGTACTTAATATGCTTAATGTAATAGATTCAACATCATATCATTCCTTCACATCTCAGCAACTAAGTGTCTAGAGTAAGATTTCGGCAAAAATTCCAGAGAAAACAAAATGTCTTTCATGTTGGGATTTGCTGTGGTGTCTTTAACATGTCTTTATGAATACAAATTAGAAACATTATTTTCTAAGTAGGCATAAAGAGTAAAGGACTCCCCTACTCTACTCCCCCAAAGAACTGAAGGAAAAAATAACCCTCGAATAAAGTACAGCACATAAAAAAACAACTTTGTAAATATATATGACATTAAAAATACCTCACTCATACAGGAAGACACACATGCACACACAAAAACACACATACACCCACACCCACACACACACCCACACACACACACACCGCGCGCGCGCGCGCACAAACACACACACAGACAAATGCCTCCACATAATATGCGTAGAATAAAAAGCAAGTTGAATTGATTATTTTCGGTTTAGTGAACAATAGAATGCTATTATTAGTTGACTGGCTTAATTATTCATTTAACTGTTGGCTAAATGGGAAACTCATTAGATTTTTTAAGTCTCCAATAGTTTGTTATCCAAATAAATAAATAATGAATAAATAAATAAATATCTAAATGCATACATTAATAAATAAAAAAAGAAAAAAAGAAAATAATATAAAACATAAATTGATACTTTTTAAAAATTCTCAGCTTATCTGTCATCTGACCAATGAATTAATATAAACTTATAACAACCAACTAATACATTTGCAGAAAAAGTTAATATTAGGATCAGCACATAAATCTCAACATATTAATATCTAATTAACCGCTAATGAATCGATTACCTAAAAACAAAAAACCCATAAAAACAACCAACAAAAAACCCCTAAAAACCCAAATAACCAAAACCAACAACAGCAAGGAAAAACACAACAAAAACCGCCTCACTTGGACAGGGGTCAGTGTTGCACGGCTCTTCCTCAGAGAGGTCATCGGGGTCACACGGCTGTCCCCCGTGCTGTGGTGCCGGGTTGTTACAAGAGCGGCTACGTGACCTGGAGCCCGTCCCACAATCTGCGGTACAGTGGGACCACACACCCCAGCCACTCACCCCGCCGTTCACTGAAATCGTGAAACCATGGAAAGCAATTGTGAGGCAGCGTGGTGGATTCCGGCTCTCGTCAAAATAATGAAAGTGAAGAAACTTGCATTTTTCCGCACGTTTGTGAATTTTTATCAAATTTTTCTTTCTTTGGCTCAACACCTTTCATGTCCATTAAAGAACGCATATTTGTGTGGATTTGTTCTGAAAAACGTGGATTACAGGCACAAAAAATGTGAATGTTCAGTTACCACCGACTCTTAAGCTAAGGAAATAACTAAACTTTGGCGACCATTTTCTCACTAATTTTACCTCTGAAAACAGGTGACCCCCACCCCCTTCATTCGCAAATATCTCGACTTGTGTTCATGATAAATGGATATTGTTTTCATTCAAATAAAGACAAGTGAACAAGCTTTAAGATGATATCAATAACTCTATATGCCCCAAAATTGACGAAAGCCTGATTCAACCACGCAGCCTCAAAATTATTTATACGTTCGTCATACATACTTCAACATAAGTTGAGAACCACTGGTTGCAAACACACCGAGTGGTCTTCATGGGTTTACCTGCACATGGGCGTTCTTGGACTGATTCAGTGGCTTGATGGCGCTACCTCAAGCGGACAATGATAGAGTTTGACACTGCAAGCCTTCTGGCAACTTCTTAGGCTCCAACTCCTTCTTGCAGTAATGCCATAGCTCTGGCACGATCAAAGTCTCTCAGCTTTTGCCTTGGTGGCATGATGATGCGATACTAGATTTTGCGCAAACGGCAGCTTATAATGCCACCAAAGTGAGCACAGTTCGAGACCGTACGTCCGTTTATGACGTGCACTAGAAATTTTAACTGAGGAATGACCGTGGTGTCGCACACAAGTCGATCAAACAAAAACAGCAAATTTTCTTTAAATTCCCAGGGGATTTCTGTGCTGCACGTGGTGGTTTTGTCACCTAAGGAAGCTTTACAGAACTTATTGGTAACCCATTAACACTTTCAGAGCAAAATTTTTAGAAACATTGCTTGCTGTCTTTTTTCGGATTAAAAATAAAAAATCAGGGCTCTCTGTCAAGGTGGTCCATAACTTATGTTGACGTCTGTGTGTGTCACAGCGTGGTGGAATCAGGCGCTCGTCAATTTCTGGGCATTTGGGGTTAGTGGTATAATCTGAAAGCTGCTTGTTCATTTGTCTTGCTTTTTGATGGAAAAAAAAAACACTCATCCGTTTTGAAAAGAAGTCGAAGATATTTGCGATAGAAGGAGGAGGGGTCGACAGGTTTTAGAAGTAAAGTTAGCGAGAAAATGGCGCCAAAGTTTGGTGACTTCCATAGCTAAATCTATGTGCCTATAATCAATGTTTTTCCATAAAATTCACAAATAAAACTGTTCTTGAATGGAGCAAGGTGTTGAGCCCCCCCCCCCCCCCAAAAAAAAAAAAAGTCGAAAAAAAAAATTCCCAATAGCTGAAAAATGCTGATTTCTCGGATTTCATTACATGTACTTTGACGAATGCCTCATTTCACAACAATGCCTCACAAATATTATTATTTACACGCTCTTCATATTTTTTCGCTTATGTATCTATTTAACTTAAAAGGTCCTGTAATTAAATTCCTGCACGTCTGTGCTTGAATTTTGCATCTGACGTGATATGTACATTTTGCAAGTTTTACTTTTCTTTTCATATTGAGTTTTATCGAGAGTAATATATTACAGCCTTGTACAGCCAAGAGAAATTTCCCTCTGGCACATTAAAGTATTATCTAATCTAACCTATTTCATATGCTTTAAAAATTGTGCTAAAGGATTAGTTTACAGTACAAGGACTATTTCAAAGTTAAATATTACATCTTCAAATTCAGTCATCGATAGTTTGACCTAATTGTGTTGAAAGTACCGTAAATGCTTATTAGCATGAAAAAGTCTCTTCGGAGAAAATCCTGGCACATTGGTTTGGTGTTTCACCACGTACACGCACACACGCGCGCGCGCACACACACACACACACACACACACACACACACACACACACACACACACACACACACATACATACACACACACGCAGTATGCTTGCACTCACAAATATATAGGCCTACAGTCACACGCATAACAATATAATTGAACTGTAATATAAACAATAATAATGATAAGCTAGATACATACTCAGCATTATGATCACTCAAAGGCATTCTGATGCATGCTTTAAGGTCAAATGAATGCTTATAAGGGGCTGTTCAAATATAATCTTACCTTTTTGGGGACTTTTTGACCCGCACCCCCCCCCCCCTTACACTTTTCTCCCAGTAATATTACATTGCTCGCTTTTAATACTAATAATTTGACATTTATATCGCACAAATCCGTGTTACAATTATTGTTCCATGCGCTTTACATAATATTCTTGAAGAATGCATATGTTCCGCGCAATTTATAGATCGGCACAAGATTGCGCGTTTTAACGATCGTATAATTGCGCGGCAATCTTAAGATTCCGCTCCACACTTTAACGGTAATTTAATTCACTTCCATCTTTATTCTTTTACTCGCATCAAGGAACATTCACGTATATTTTCAAAAGTGCAAAAATATGAAAATTACAATTAAAATTAGTATGAAACTGAAGAGCTCACAAGAATGATACAATTATATAATCGTTAAAACGCGCAACGCAATCTTAAAATTGCCACGCAATTGTACGATCATTAAAACGTGCAGCGCAATCATAAGATCCCTGAATTGCGCGGAACACATAGATCTACACAGATATCATACGTGTGTACATAATAATATGAAGTTTTACATTAACTAAAAAATAACATAGTAGATCATTCAAGCAAAATGTTGCATTCACTCTTTTTTACTGAAAAGGAAAAATTTGAGACTCATGTCAATATCAACTGTGCCTTAATTAAAAATAAAACAAATTACAACGGAATTCAGGACCGAAAAAAGTGTGGACTTTGAGCAAGGTTGACTTTATCCATTGCACTACTGGCCATTGGAAATTGAAGATGACAGCTACAAAATTACAAAGTTCCTGGTAACAAGATGTTAGCTCAATTTCAGGGAGTATAATTCTGAAGTTGTCACGAAAACAAGAGATAATGAGTGAACAAAGTAATTGGACCTATACATCTCTTCTTAAATGAATTCATCTTGGATGAGATTTAGCCCGAAATTGTTGACTTTACTCAAGGTTAACACTCAAGCGTTTGACAGTACATGTATCAGAAACACAATTACTTAAACAAAAAAGGTAGGGAACGGGACCACACTGAGGTGTTGACTGTAAGCAAGAGTTGACTTTATCAAGATTCAACCGCATCTATTATTACTGATCATTATGCTTAAAACAAAAAGTGAAATTAGTTATCATCAACAAAGGCAGTGTTCATCATCATGTCAAACATAATTTTTAAAACAGGGACATCTGCTAAGCTGTCATCCAAATATGGGTCCTGTACCAACTTCATGCTCTTTTTTCCTTTTGGCCTCTGCACACCATGCAGCCTTTCTTGACCAAGGCCACCCTTTTTTCCCCTTATTTTTTCACCTCACAAATGTGTAATATTACATTGGTTCAAGATCCCCACCCCTTTCTTACACTTTTCTTACAGGAGCAAAAGACCCCCCCCCCCCTCCCCCTTTCCAGGTGTAAGTTTATATTTGAACAGCCCCTAACAAGATAGTTAAGATGGAAGAAGTTGGATGGGCGATGGTAAGAATGACTGGAGGGGGCTCTCGTGGCCTAAAAGTTAAGGTGTTCGCCTCTCGTTCAAAGGTCCCGGGTTCGAATCAGGGTAGCGACGAAAAAAAAAATTCTTCTCTAAAATTGTCTCCTTTCCCCTCCTTTCCTGCTCTCTAGCAATGTTCTGTCGTCTCCTTTCTTCTCTACTTTCTGCCCCACCCCCTCACATTATCTGTTCCCTCCTTTGGGCTCCTGACTCTTTCTGAAGGCTTTCTACTGCTACTCCTTGGCTCCTTCTTACTGCTGTCTTTCAGCCACATCCCTGATCTTGGGGAAGGAAAGATCTAAACCTAGACTTCTCGGACAAGGGCGGAAAATCTCGGAGGTCCCGTGAGAAAGTTGTTCATGTTAAATATCTCTTCGTGGTCCAAATTCGATAAGAGTAGGCTTCGGTGCCACCCGGGCAAAATTCAAAATTTCCTACCAACTGAAAATGTTTGGTGTTTTCCGCGCGCTCATATGACCTTATGCAGTTGCGAGCGTCATATTAAAACTACCAAAACTGTCTTTTACTTCTGACTGATATTTCTAATTGAGGGAACAAGTGATGTTACTTGTCTTGCTGCGTCTGAGAGGACACTTGTGGGTCGCAGTCACACTATGTGAAATGAAACGGTATAATGGTATAGGCTTAACGCCCCTATCAACACTGTTAAATTGTTTAAGAGGCGGGACATCCGATTTCAACGTCCATCTCCGAGAGGACTGAGCCTAGTGGGAAATTCGTGTAAAGTGCCTTTCTCAAGGACACAACGTCGACCGAGCTGAGGCTCAAATTCCCGAATCCGCAATTTCACAATTAGGAGTCCGGTTGCCTAACCACTAGGCTACCGATACCACGTCACACTGTGTGCCACAGGCGCGTTTTACTTATCAAATTTTAAGAGTTGAGAGCTCAGGTCCACTCTTACGAATACGGAGAGGAAAAAAATTAATGTATATTGTTTGCTGGATCGTGCGAGCTTCTGGTAGCACAAAGCAGGGGACTCAAACTAGATTACATGGGGACCACAAAAAAACAGAGTCTGGGGACAAGACTGGTCCAAGGATCGTGAGTTTGAGACCCCTGGCATAAAGCGTTTTCTCAACCCCTCCCCCCAGCCTTACCTGGACAGGGTGAGAGGCCGTCGCACTCCTTGAACTCAACCAGATGGTCAGAGCAGTGTCTCCCGCCGTGTTCAGGGCTGGGGTCGTCACATGTCCTGTGCCGAACGGCTGTACCGTTACCGCAAGTGACATGGCAGTACCAGGAGCCCCAAGTGCTGACGCCACCGTCAACTGCGAGTACAATAGCACAAGGTGAGTACCAATAGATGTCACAGAGTGGAGAGGAAGAGGGGGACATTGACAGGTACATTTTTTGCCAAATCATAATGACACTGACTTAGATGAACACTTTTCTCTGAGGAAATGAATTACATATTTTCTACAAAAAAAAACCCAACCCGTTACTGATGCCCTTGGGAAACTTGTTTTACATTGGTACACTGAAGTATAATATACAAATCCACTTATACATACATTAATACATGTTCATACAAAACACATAGATAATACGTAATAACATAATATACATAAACAATCCAGAACACCATTGCTGGTTGGTCGTCATCGGTTGTGCCGTGCCCTGTTGTTGATCTAGGGCCATCATGTTTTCAGTGACCACTTGCTAAAAATCTGTGTCACCGACACACTCTTGGCGTTATTGTTTGTGTGGTAGATCTAAGTGTTTTACGGCGCTCGCACATTTACTGCATAAAGTCATATGAGTGCCCGGGACACATTACTCATTTAAAAAACTTTTGGCAGGAATTGATTTCGACGCCTAGTCTAATCGATTTTGGACTCCCAAAGGATCTTTAACAAGCGCCATTTTCACACATGAACTCCGAGATTATCCAAGAAGGCTAGATGTTAGATCTTATCTACTCTAAGATCAAGGATGTGGCTAAACGACAACAGTAACAAAGAGCCAAGGAGTAGCAGTAGAAAGGCTGGAAAAAGAGCCAGGAGCCAAGAGGAGGGGGCAAAAGAGAGTGATGGTGGGGGGCAGAAAGTGGAGACAAAGGAAGGCGATAGTACATGATCAGAGAGAAGGAAAGGAGGTGAAGATAGAACATTTTAATAATGTAGATTATCCGTGGGTGTCAGGTTTCTAACTCGGGACCTATTGAATAAGAAGCGAACACAGTAACCTTTAGATCACGAAAGCCCGGCACACATGTGATGTTATTAGGAGCCTGAGCTCACATATCACTCACACACTGGGGCTGCCAAAGGGTGGTCGCCTTGGACAGGTTCGAAAGTACTCGAACGATGGGGGCATTGAAACAGAAGGGGCAGACCACAAATCGCACCAACCCCTCCCCCCCAATCTGTGAAAATCACATAAAGACCTACTTTTGCCTATGGTGTAGTGGTAAAGTGATTCACTGTCACACGCAGGAGACCCAAGATCAATTTCTGTTTAAGGAGACAATTTTTTATCGAGTATCTCAGTCTTTCTGCTGGTATGTTGTATCCCTCTCAATCCGGGTTGGTCCTGACAGGAAGGGTCGAAGCTCGTCTCGTATATCGTTTAAATTGTATCAAAAGACGAGGGAGGGGGGAATAAACAAACACCTACATCTGGTAGCATTTCAAAAAGACCTGCTGACAAACCACTTACCGGGGCAAGGGAAGTCGTTGCAACTCTCCACTTCCTGTTCCGGCCCGCTGCACAGCTGGCCGTAGGGTCCAGGCGGGGGCTTGTCACAGCGACGGTCACGTGATCGGTCACTCCCGCCACACGCCGCGCCGCACAGGCTCCAGGCTGCCCACTCGCCCCAGGCGCCGTCCACTGAAGACGTGGTACGATGGATGTTAGTTAACTCGCTAAAAACTCAGCGGACACACATAGTCCCTTCAGAACTACCCTGTCTAAAGTGTACTTAAGTGTAGAGTGTCATTATCATTGCCTTTCTCACCATGCACCAGGGTATAGGGTAAACAATTTCCTCCTTTCTCTATCCTGGGCTAGCCTCTTGATGTGATTCCGTCTCTTTCCACTTTTCTCTACATAAATTTCTGTTATTCAAGTAGAAAGCGTACTTAGGACAAAACAGTAATGAGAGGACGATATCGCTTCCTTAGAATCACAAATCGCTATCTGACATTTTTGGCGGTTTTGAGTTACCAGGACCATGAGGTCAGAAACCAAATTATGTTCTGTCTTCTCTATAAAAATCGTAAGTATTTTCGGAACCGTTATCAAAATAATCAAAGAAATTTATTTGAAAAAGCTTGACATGTTGTGGAACTCAACCATTTTTCACGTCAAATTTCTCAGAAGTAGGTACCTAGCAGTACGAACTTGTAATTCTAGGGTAGCGATTTGTATGATCACCAGACCAAAGTCAATGTCGCAGCACATTATAATGAACCATTATGCACAGAAGCTATTTCTTTAAAGTGCGCAACATGTTGTCTATCTTTTTTATTTTCGGATAGAGAAAAGAGAATTGAAAATCTGTAAGAACTTGGCAGTAATGCTTTAACCCCCCCCCCCCCCACACACACACACACACACACACCGTTCTGATCACTCTTCCCCCTTACCTTTATTCAACCATTTCATCTTCCAGTCCCCCCCCCCCCCCCCCTTCCAACAAAAAACAACACGTTTTCAAACGAGGGTGAATAGCCGTCATGTGGGCCCTCCATGATTTAACTCATAGTTCATAAGCGGCTATTCCACCTTGGTTCGCAGCTAATTTTGTCATCTAAGTTTTTCAGCATCACCAACCTCCCTATACCTTAGTTCCTATTTAACCTATTTACACAAATAAGCAACATCAAACTGAGAAGAAATGAATGATGCAGGCAGTAAACAATATTTTTTGAGGCGGCGTGGTGAAATCAGGCACTCGTCAAAATAATGAAAGTGAAAAAAACTGACATTTTTCCGCAGGTTTGGGAATTTTTATCGAATTTTTGTTTTTTTAGCTCAACATCTTTCACGCCCATTAAATAACACATATCTGTGAGGATTTTACTGGAATAACGTTGATTAAAGGCATAAAATATGTAAATTTTCAGTTTCCACGGACAATCACGCAAAGGAAATAACGCAACATTTTCTCGCTAATTTTATCTCTGAAACCAGGTGACCTCAACCTCCTTTAATTGCAAATATTTTGACTTGTATGGAAGACAAATGAATATTTTTTTCGAGACACATATAGTTTGTTTATAAATACGATGGATTTGAAATGTTTGGTAGACTTGTGCCAAGACTGTAAACACCCGAGTGAAGCAATGTGCTAGCTGAACTGGTACACTAAGGGTTAATGCCCTTGTCAAAGGGGGTGAAAGAGGGCTGTTTGTAGGCTATAAGTATGAGGCCTAAACGTAAGCCATTTTCTTTAGTTTAGCATCTCATCCCGTAGTTCACATACTGATGAGGGAAGCCTGTCTGAGATAACCCTTGTTGTCTGAAACGTGTATGTTTTGTTTTCAGTCTAAAGATAATCACTTGTGCCCGAACTTTTTTTTTCACATGTTTAAATTGCCTCTGATGTTTATTATAGAATTTCATCGAAAATCCGCAGAGTTATGGACAACATCGCTTCTAACCTAGTTTCAGGGATTTTAAAAAGGTAATTCGTTTAGTTGTGTTTCTTCAAGTCGCGAAATGTAAAATAAAAGTCATTTGTTCAAGTTTTTCAGAGTTCATGACCTTGGACTTGGTTTGCTTTACAAATATTCTTGTGCAACTATAAGCCCTGTAGAAGGAAGACTTCATTATTTCGTATCAACAAAAAAACAATTTCGGGGGCGTTTGCCACCCTCTCCCTCCATACACATGGCATACACAGACACCCCCCCCCCCCACCTCTAACAAACAAACACCCCCCCCCCCAAAACCCAAAAAAGCAAAGATAAAACAAACAAATAATAAAAATAACCTCAAACTTTACAAATAAGACACGAACGTCCGGTTCACCTATTTCTTCTGTACACAGAGCTCCTCTGTAGCCAGCCGCACAAACACAAGTGTAGTTCTGCGTCTCCACCAGACTTTGGCAAACGGCGCCGTTAGCACATTTGTGGTCGTCACAGAACGATGGTGCTGTCTGTAACGTACCAAAAAGAAGGTTACAACAAGCAACTAAAGAGTTTAAACCCTCTTTTATTCCATATATTGTCATGTAAGGTGCATAGAATTTGCAGTTGAGCGGGAACTTACGCTATACAAATATGGTCTATTATTCCAATAAATCCCCGAATGATTTTTTTTGGGTGTAAACTTTGTCGATTCCTTGCACAAGAAGAATAATATGAACAATAATATATTGACTATTTAGCTAGATAGATTTAGTGGGTGTTAGCCATGGCAAAAACAAAACTGATGTAGAAGTTGCTTTCATCAGCAATAACAACCCCCCCCCCCCAAAAAACATTTTTAAAAAAATCCCCCAAAAACAAAACAAAACAACAACAACAACAACAACAACAACAACAACAACAGCAGCAGCAGCAGCAGCAGCAGCAGCAACAGAAGCAGCAACAACAAAAACAACAGCAGCAGCAAGAAAAACAACAAAAACAACCAGGAAGTTATTAACAATATCTGATGGCAACATGAAACCTGAATCAAATCAAATCGCTACTTCCGAATTATAAGGTTCTATCTGATATTTTTGGTCTTTTTTGAGTTACCGAGACCAATGTGTGCCTAAACCAAATGTTCTATCTGCTCTATCAAAATCGTAAGATTACTCAGAGTCGTTATCAACAGATTCAAAGAATTGCATTCGAAAACGCTAGACGTGAAGTGAGATTCAAAGTTTTCGACTTCAAATTTCTCAAAGCTCGCGACTGAGCAATAAAAATGTGTTATTCTAAGGCTGCGAAATACTAAAACCATAATATTATTGTGAGGCGTCATGGTGAAATCAGGCGGTCGTCAACAAAAAATGAAATTAGATATTTAAAAAGGGCATTTTCTTCCCGATAAGCACTTTTTATCTCATTTTTATTTCTTGGCTGGCAGATTTTTATGTCCATTTGAGAACACATTGCTGTGTGTATTTTGCTGAAAAATTTTGATCTAAGGCACACAAAAATGTGAATTGACAGTTTCCAAGGACTCATAAGCGTTGGAAGCCATTACCTTTTGCCAGACATTTTCTCTCCAATTTTATTTTGTAACCAGGAGACTCCCACCTTCATTATTCACAAATATCTCTACTTTCATTCAAGATAGATTTGTATTCTTTTCATCAAAAGCAAGACAAATTAACAAACTTTAAAGATCTACCAATAATGGACGGGACTGGGAGGATTCAGACATAGGGTACTTGATTTGGGAGTTTGAGGTCGCTCCCCCTGAGGCGAGGGATACAATATTCTGTGTAAATTGTGCCCTCTCGATTTGGGCTCGAGGATCCTGCGTCAGAATCTCTCCAAGCTCAATTGGACTCGAAAAGAATACTCGGGGCAAAGGATCAAGGAGTAGAATGCTGCAATTTTAAAGATCATAATCTGCCAACTTGCTATTTACAACCCGCTTACAAATACCCCCAACATACCTGCCACTATACTTTCTTCCCACTTAGCTCCTCTCTACACTTGTCTTGGCCCGATAGAATAGGCTAACACTATCGATGTCACCTTAGCAGAGACTGAGCCCACCATTTCGGAACTTCATGGTGACCGTAAAGATGGTTCCAGTAGGGAACGGGATAGAGGGCGCCCACGTCCCTCGTGACTCATTGGAGCAGAGGAAGATAGGACTAACGCTAACATTACTTAAACGCAATCCCTCATCATCACTCATCACCACTATTAATTCTAAAATCATCACCTCTCTCAGATCAATGACTTACATCTATAATCCTGGAATCTCTATCCGCTATTACAGTTAATTGATATACTAAGTATGCATGTAATACACTATTGGACACAATCATATATGCATTTTTTTCTACTAATCAGATGGCGTCAATCTCATATAAATGGGCAAGGGGGGGGGGGGGAATTTAAAGGAATAACGATAAGTCCATATGCCAAAAAATTGACGAGCTCCTGGGTCTGCCGCGTCGTTCCCATATGTTAGGCATCATGGTGAAATCGAAGAAACTTGCTTTTTCCCGCCATTTTTTGCAATTTTTTATCGAAGTTCGATTTTTTTTGGCTCCTCATCTTTCATGTTCAAATAAAGATACTACTCCTTTTCATTTTTATTGAAAAACATTGATTAAAGGCACAAAATTGTAATTTGTCAGTTTTCAGTGATTCCCAAGCTATTGAAGTTACCACACTTTGGCAGCATATTTTCTCGCTTATTTTACAACTGAAACCAAGAGGGCCCACCTCTTTCAATAGCAAACAGTAATATGTCTACTTCTATTCGAGATAGATGGGTATTAATTTTTAACCGAAAGTAAGGGAAAGGAATAAGCTTTCAGATGCTACAAGTAAACCCACGTGCCGAAAAATTGACGAGCGCCTGATTCCACTGCATAATAACATTATAAGCGCCAGTACGCCAAGGTCGTTAATGGCCTATATCCTGGTGCGGAAAGACAATGGTGATGATGATGACGCCAACGTTCCCACCTGGCACTGATCCCCGAACCACGGATCCTCACAAATACATCGAAAACCTCCGCTTAGGTCAACACACACCCCGTTGTCACCGCAGGGGTAGGATGCACATTCATCCACAGCTGAAAGCAGATGAAATTAATGTGGTGAGTTGAGATGAGACGGAATGAAGAAAGATCGAAAGAGATGAGGATATTAAATTAAAACTTTGGAAGTCATTTTCTCGCTAATTTTACCTTTAACGCCAAACTAACCCCACCTTCTTCAATTGTAAATATCTTCTATTCAAAATAGTAAAATATGAGATGGGATAAAGAGAAACCGGAAGGGATGAGTGTGGAGCTAGGATGAATGTACGTGATGTGATGGCAAGAGATGAAGAGATTTTTAAAAATTAGTATGAGTTTCATAGCACTTACAACACAATAAGATCACATAAATGCCGAGGAATAGAAGAGTTACAAGAGAGTAACAAACGCAAGAAGGAGGATGACAGATAAATAGAGAAGCTGTTTGATAGATAAGAAGGAGCAAACCGTACAAGAGCACCCGTAAATCACTCACAGATGGAGAAAGGCGGATAAAATTATGCGATGAGATGAGATGAGATGAAATGAGATGAAATGAGATGAGACGAGGTGAAGTGAGGCGTATAACATAAAATGCGATAAGGGGGATAAACAATAATTAAAATGTATAATGTGTATACTTTCAGGGCCAATCGCGTCTGAGAGAGAGAGAGAGAGAGAGAGAGAGAGAGAGAGAGAGAGAGAGAGAGAGAGAGAGAGAGAGAGAGAGAGGAGAGAGAGAGGGGGGGG